TTTTTTTTTTTTTTTTTTTTAACTTGCATTCCAGCATCTAAACAGAATTTATTTAGCCAGGTTAATTACTTAGCATAAAAAACCATCTTTGTACTTATTAAATACCAAACCTTCATCTAATCACAATATTTCTTTAAAATCCTTTGAGATCACCAATTCAAATTAAACACCTCTCACTCCCTAAATACTTGCATACATATATAAATCTAAATGTACAAAATTCCGTTAGCATATATATAAACTTCTTTTCCCTTTTTTCACTTGAGGAACTTTAACCTTAATCTAAGAATTTTCCGGGTGTAAGATGATAATCAAACCATACTTTTAATATCTTTAGACAACTTTAACAATCCAAAATAACTGCAAAACATTTTAGGATCATTAGACAAAAACTGCAAACTGATTCCTAGTTTTCAAAGTTACTCATTCTATTTAACCTCTTGTGATTAGCACTTGATCACATTTAAGCTCTTGAGATTTGCCTTATAAGCTCTTGAGATTTGCCTTATATACAATCATTTAATTGTCCTCTAACACACGTAACTTTTACTCCAGATCTGGAAATTTTCCAGATTTATAGCTATGTATTCAAATTCAAATTTAGCATTCAAATTATCACACTCATTGATCCATCTAATCTCCCTTAACACAGCATCACAACACGCATAAGGAAAGGAGCTCAAGTTCTGCTCCCCATTTAGTCGCATTATCCACTAAACAAAAGAAGAAAAAGAACATGCAATCCAACATACTCACATGCAATGAGATGTTTACTGTTATGGGTCTTGATTTTAATAGATTCGGAGCTAAAAATTCAAACAACCTTCTTTCCCCTGTTTCGGCCAACCCAAAAACAGAGCAAGGAAATCTACATGCAAGCTAAAAATCATACTCCATTATCGTCAACAAAATCAACAAACACTACTCTTTCCTCCTCATCAAGTTCGCACTTAACCAAGAGTTTCTCTCACTAGAACCCAAACTTCTTTCGTCATTAACTCTTCAAACACTTAGCAAACCGAAGAAAGAAGAGTAGAATGATGATCAGAGGACTCACCTTGTTCAGACACTAAGCTCGGCATGCAATGAAAAGGCCACCGATCACTACTCGGACGGCTTCTCCTCTCACGGTCTCCCTCTCACGTTCCTCTTCGTTTCTTTTTCTCTCTGGTTCCTGTCGAAATGATGGAAGGAGTAGATGCGTTTAATCAAATTAAAAAAAAAAGGTCAGAAATGATCAACAAGTTTTGTATTCACTTTCATCCTTTCAACAAATTTCTGAAATATAAAATAAATCCAAAAATTAATCCATCATATTTTATATGGATTTTTCTTGTCTATTAGCTTCTTTGGCTCATAAAATAATTTTTCTTAAACTTGGGATCAAAAATCAATTCCTAACTATTTTTCTTGATTTTTTTAAGGAAATAGCCCTTAATTTCAGAAATCAATGCTTAATTCATTTTGAGGATTTTATGCCTCAATTAGCTTCTTTGCCTCATAAAATAATTATTTTAAAATTTTTATCTCAAATATAAACCTCTAACTATTTTTCTTGAATTTTCAAAAAAAAAAAGGTCTTTTTAACTCTCAAAATTAACTTTCAAATTGTTTATACCACATTTTGAGGAAATAAACTTTTCCATAAAATTTCTAAGTCCTTGAAATTATTGTTCAATAAATTTTCTCAAATTTTCTTAGGCTTTAAATAATTTTAATAAATTTATTTCCCTTGTTCCCCTAAAATTTAAACATTCCAGATGTTACACCTGCCAAAAACAACTTTGCAACTATACTTTGTGACTGATTGAATAACTGACAATATCATTAGGAACTTAGGAGATGAAATATATTCACAATGATTAACATCCTATATTGTGTAGTGCACACTTTGAGCATTCAAATAAAACACATCGAGGGATGGTCACGTTATAATTTAAATTTTTTTCTACTTTGATATAATTTGTAACAAAAAATTTCAATTACTGGAACATTAAATTTTTTTTTATTGTCAGCAATTTTGAAATTGATATGAGCGTGCAAGGTCAGTGGTGAATACAAAAATCAAGTACAACACAAGCAGGCAGAGAGAAATAAACAAAAGAAACATATGATTATTTGGCTCTAATATAAATTAATTTTAGGTTTTCAAAGTTCGTCCCTTGGTGTCATTAGAGATGAGAAGCTCATCGGTATATTTGAAGCTTGAGGAGAAGTACACACAAACAGTAACAATATTCATAAATTGCTGAGATTCAATCAGAATCATAAACATAATATAAAAGAAGTCAGATATGGACCTGATTGATCAATATTAGCTCGCCAACGGTATAGCAATAGGGCCTCATCCATCTTAAGCAGCGGTCCACCCTTTGATCTCGTTATCTGAGGGCGTCTTAGAATCGGGCAATTATTAGCAGAGAATGTTTGGAGGGAAGGGCAGACCATGATGCCTCTGTATACGACATCTAATTGTGTCATGAAATTTAATTTGAGAGATGTCAACTCGGGAAGAGTGATAGGTTCCAATTCAGAATGATCCTTTTCAGCTTCAACCATTTCTTTCATCTTCTGACAAGCATCAACATCGATGGTGCGCAAGTTTCGTAGGTGTGCCAATAACTTGGGTGTGATCAGAGCTTCCATGCTGTCGCAAAACGAAATAGAGAGATCTGTGAGATGAGAAAATAGGGGGGATTGAGGCAAGGAATCAGCATATGATGGCACTAAATCTTCCAAGTCCTCCTTATCCGTGCAAAAGGGGCAATTACAACAGCACAAGCACTCCAAATCTTTGCAATGGCTAATTTCCAACAGTTCAATTTTGAGTGGCTCACTGTTGTCGCAGTATGATAAAACACTGCATAGGGATCCATTACCTGTCCCTAGGCGGCAATTCCTGATAACCAACTTGTTGGTTCCCCCTGGGAGTATTACTTTTTCATCTCCCAAGTCCATATCCTCAATATATATCTCTTTCACGGAATATTCTCTATCATAAGCATGATGAATACGGTGCCGGCCAACAACGTATTCTGCAACCCGTAAAGTTAATTGATAGCTTCTGGTTACACAATTATGGGCCAGGAAGCTCACAAAGTTATTGAATACGCTAATGTCACGAAAATAGGCTAGTACAACTTCCAACTTTTTCAAACCTTGTGTACCTTGTCCTATCGCATCCGTTGAGCATTGGGTCCAACCCACCTCAAGACATAGGCGTCTAAGATTGACCAGTGATTCCAAGCCCCTAGGTGCTTCAATGATTGGAGTAAAACATAGATCCAATGATATTAAGCTTTTCAATTTTATTAATGAAGGAATGCAACTCAATTCTCTACATCGAGAAAGTAATAATGCAATCAGACATTTCAAGTTGGACAATGATTCGGGCAGACGCTTGATCCCAGTCCCAGACAAATCAAGTACTTTAAGAACAGGCATGTTGTTGAAAAACTCATCTGAAATGTGGTTGAGTTCTACATTACAATTCAACAACAACGTCGAAAGTTGAGAAAACTTAAGACATGTTCCATTTGGAATTGTTTGTATCTTGTTTCCCGTCAGAAAAACTTTTTGTAAATCCTCTTTCCATTGGTCATCACTTGGTATTTCTGTCAAATTCTTGTAAGCTTTTCCCATAATTTTACAAGTTTCTTCTGCAATACCAATGGCAAGGATTCTAAGAAATTTATTTATCTTCCATTGATTCCGTTGATCATCATAATCCAACATGCTATGATCCTTTAATTTATACAACATGTTGTAACCTTTGTTATACTGCACCGTCAACTTCTTTGTCTCATCTATGCTTTCATAAACAAATTTTCTTAGCAAATAATTAGCATCGTCATTGTCAAAAATTCCATTGGTACTTAAAGCACAATCCAAGAAGAATATTTGCAATTTGTTATTTAAGAAATCATAGCTAGATCTCAAAACTGGCAATACCCATTTGTCCATTTCATATTGCCCATTGCCCAGGTTTTCAAGACATTCCAACATATGTCTCCATTCTCTAGCTTCTGTTCTCCCCTTCATGCTTGTCGCGATTCTAACAATAGCTAGGGGAAAACCCTCACATTTTTGTGCCACATTCTGTGCAATATCTTCCACTTCCGAAGACAGTTCTTCACGGAAGGACCCCAAAAACTCCTTAAACAAATCCCAACTCTCTTCATCATCATCATCATCATCATCTAGAGGCGCCACTTCTATTACCTTCTTACAACCCATACCTTGACACACATTCCATATACGGGTGGTCAAAATCAATTTAATTCGATTATCTGACATAGGAAATCCAACATCCTTTAGAAAGAAATGATCCCAAACATCATCTAAAATAATAACACATTTGTTCATCTCTTCGAATGCTTGAAATAATTTCCCGGCAATTCTTTTAACCTCAAACTCATCAGATATATCCAACTCAATTGATCTGGCGACCACTTTTTGCAAATGGGAGATGCTATTTTGTGATACAGTTACCCAAATAACTTTAATGTCGCTAGTAGCTTCTTCTGAAATAAGCTTGTTATGTATATGGGTTGCTAAGGCTGTTTTTCCTGACCCTGCCATTCCCCAAATTCCAATTGGTGACGGCTTGTCATCCATTATCCATTCCCATATATCTTTAATTTCCCATTGAAAACGCCCACCTATTAAATCTGTCGTAGGCAATATATAACCCGTGGAAGATCCTAGCAACAAGAATAGTAATGAATAATTAAGTAAAGAGAGTAAGAAGAATATATAAAAAATTAAACTAAACATATGGCATTCAAATTTTAAGTAGTCATATATAGACATATATACTCTATCATCGAAATTTTTCAGGAATCAAAATGTAAGTCACCACAGAATTTAGGCAGCATTAAATATTTTTCTGCACTTGTCCCTCATCAAATAATCAAAAAAGTTATGGACAAGAGAGTGGCTAAGAAATATACAAGAGAAGATTACAATTGAATGGGAGAAATTTTTGGAAGTTATGAAGTTTATCAAAAAGATTTTGGAAGTCATGAAAACTTTGGAAAGTTTAAAAACTTCAACTAGTTTTAATAAATTTTCATAAATAACATTTAAAATGAGCTGGACATATATTTTTTATGCTAACAGACGTACCTTTTCCTTGTTGGTTTTCATTCTCACTATCGGAAGCAGAAGATGACCCATCTTGAATCATTGCCTGACGGGTAGCTTCAGCTGGAATTTGTCCTGCTTCATTGGACAACGCCATAATCTATTAGACCGTCCAATGAGATTTTTTTATTACAAAAAACCAAAAAAAAAAAATTCCCCTGTGCATGTCTTTTGAAAAAATTTACCAGATCTAAGGCAAGAGCTAAAAAAATTCACCTCTGTCTGAAAATTAAAGGCGTATCTAATTAATTTAGTCTTCATTTAAACCTCTATATCACATATGATATCTTCAAAAATAAAGGCAATGTGGGATAGAAATGTAACAAACATCACATAAGATATCTTCCCAAAAAAAAAAACCCTCTGTATGAATTAAAAAAAGATAGGAGGCGAGGGAGTATATAATTAAGCATTTTAGCTAATTCATTAGAATTAAAATATGGCATTTAACTCATCAAATCTGTCTCAAATGGAAAATATCCTTCAATTTTATCCAAGTTAAATAAGATTGTAAAGGAATACAAAAGGTTACATTAAAGTATTAATTGCAGGACAAAATTGACAAATAAATATTAATTACGCTCAAGATCAATCACTAAGTAATCAAAAAGTTATGGAGAAGAGAGTGGCAAAGAGGAAAATATGAGAGAAGTTTACAATCTGACGAGAGTAATTTTTTTAGGTTATGACAATTTTTTTGGCCAAAAACAAAGTTATGAAAATTTTTAAGAGTTTAAAAACTTCAACAAATTCATAAATGACAAATAAATGGAGGTGGATATAAATTTTACATGCTGATACTCATACCTTCTTCTAAACGATCTTGTCTATTCACTCCGTCAACTCGTAATCTTTTATTGCCATCTTGCTTTCCAACTTGTGCATAGTGGCGTCTTGCTTTATCATATAGACTTTGTTTTTCTTGGTTCAGGTCACTGTTGAGCAACTTCATAGCCAAATCTTCCCTTTCTTTTTCACTGTCAAACTAAATAGTTGTCCGTATCATTTATATGACCAAGGGTCTGTTTGGGATGAAGAAAAGGGAGGGGAGGAAAGGAAAGAAAGAATTTTAATGAGGCCGACTTTAAAAATCGAAGAAATTGGGTTAAAAATGTTTAATTAATTTTTAATACTTTTTATTTTACATATTCTCTTTATTAAAATTTTAAAATCCCATTTCTTCAATTTTTTTAAATCAACCTTATTAAAATTTTCTCCCCCTTATCCTTCCGTCCATTTGCCTCATGGGGTAGAAGAGACTACTTTGCGTGCCCGTGTAGGACTATGTGTGGGCATGTGTGAGTGCTGAGCTATGAATCTATGACTATATGTTTGTAAGAAGTCATACCTGAAATGAAGGATTTCTCTTCACATAATTACATGATTGTTCCATGAACTTCATAACAAAGATACCGCAGTCAAATCTACAAATTAATATATATATATATATATATGATAAAGTCCTGATAAAAGCTTTTTCTAGTAAAGTTTATATAACTTTACATAATAATTGTCGACTCACCCATTGGGCTGTGGGAGGATGTCAGTTTCCATCTTCGAACGAAATTCCGTAAATGCTACCTCTATGAAGAGTTTTTCCATGGCAAGCAACTAGATACATAAAGCATAAATTCTACAAAATCAAAAGAATAATTGATCGATTAAGGTTGTCAATATTGCAATGATCTAACACTCACCAATTTTTTGGTTGTCTCATCACGTTCTATTTCAGCCACAAATGTATTGAGTAGAGAATCCCACACTTCAATCTCTTTATTCTTTAAATGGATAATATATAAATAAAAATGTCCACCATTTGACTTCGCTCCAATGTGAACAGGAATAAATATCTAATATTTGTGATAACAAAAATTAAATTGATATATATAGCAGGAAAAAAAAAAGGTAATCAGGTCGACAAAGAAAGTTTTCTATAAAGAGTTAAAAAGACTTGACATACCTTCTCACAGGATTTCAAGTCAGACGTATAATTTTCTCTTATTTTTTGGCGATCGACAAAGTCCAAGAAGCGAGCTATGCTGTATTTGAGTGCTGCCTCCTATGATCACATTACGTTGAACCATTAAGAGTTATTGTCAATGAACTAGCTTTAGATTAAACAACTACTGACATGCATCATGTAACAAAAAAGGGAATAGGAAATCACCGAAAATGTCACAGGGAGATAACAATTCGAAGGTGTAATTTTCTTCTTTCGCTCAATATGAGTTAACATCTCCGCAAAAGCATCTATTACCTAAGGATGCATGAAACTGAATGTCATTAATATAAATAAAACCTTTTTCATTAATATTAAAATAGAATATAAAAATATAATAAATAAATACTCACCAATGAATCCAAAAAAGCCCCTGGTCTAAGCGTGGCAAATTCTTCTTGAGTCAAATATGAAAGTGGGGAACCAAAAACCTTATCTTCAGGACTGAAGAATTAATTAAAATGATATATTTATCAAAACATAGAATTAGAGTGATTTGAAAAAAGAAAACAAAAAATAAAATACATTCATCTACACATATTAGAAGCACATATACAGTGAGAAGCATGAATCTAACCTTAAGCATTCAAACACATATTGTATAACCTTCAAGTCTTCAGTCTCCCCATCGGAAACAGAAGAAGACCCAACAACTCGAACCCCTTTCTGATACTTGGCATCAGCTTGACTTTGTCCTGCTTCGTTCGGCATGCTATAATCTATTATACCGTCCACTGAGATTTCTTATAAGGAAAAAATATAAATAAAATGAAATAAAATTCCCTGAGCATGACTTGTAAAAAAATTTACCAGAACTAAGGGAAGAGTTAAAAGTTAAAACTCTTCACCTCTGTCCGAAAAGTAAAGGAGTATCTAATTGATTTTATCTTCATTTAAACCTATCGTATAGCGTAACTCTAAATAATTGGGTCAACATTAAATAACGGCAATGTGGGAGAAATGTAATAAATATCAAGTTGGCAAAAAAACAAAAAGAAAAAATCCCCTCTGCAGGAATTATTAAAAAGATAGAAGGGAGCATAATAATATATAATCGCGTAACCTTGGTGACAATGTCGGAGGTTGTCTCTGAGATCATTGGAGTTTCCTCTGTCTGGAACATATTTTGCACAGGCTCGAATGCCTCCGCCTTTACCTCCTTTAATATGAGATCTGATTCTGGTGGCACCTCCTGCGAATTCCAATTTACAATATTTACACTTCCATCTTCGTCCTTCCTCCAATACCACAACGTGTCGCCACACATCATCATCCTTTGGCCTCCCACCAACTACCTTTTTCATTATTACTGTTCCTGCATATGCAATATATATACAGAGACAGAACCAAAGTGATAATAATTAAAATTGAAGTCATATATACAGTTCCACAGTTTGGGGATTGAGTTTTCGCCAATAAATCTAATCTACTTTTCCCGCACATACAAAATCATCTACCTTTCCTTAATATGCATGCAATTTGATCGAGCAAAGTAATGAAGGGATGAAGATTATTGTGCGCAGAGAAACTTCAGAGAGCGACCAACCTTGAATCTGTCCAATTAGAGAATGAACAATCGTGGAAAGGCAGAAGCAGAAGTAACAAACACAGGAAGATGAAAATGAGGTCACCTGATAATGATCAAAAGGAAAGGCAGAGGAAATTGAGAGAGGAAGTTACTGAATGCCATTGCAAGTTGAGGATTGAAGCATGGTGGACAGCTGACTCCGGTGAGAAACAGCAGTTGAGTTGAGTCCGTAGAATAGAAATGTGATGATGAAGAAGAAGGACTCTGGGGGAAGAGTGTTGTAATATTTTTTGGGTGTGTCAAAGAAAGGATCCTACATTAATTGGGAATGTGGGAAGATGAAAATAAATTGAGCATTAATCATGGACAGATTTTCTTATTATTATTATGAATTATGAATATTATGAATAGGAAAATCAAATGTAGAAGAGTTTTAAATGGATTTCCAATGCATTAAAAGATTTAAAAGTGGCCCATTAAAATCCTTTAATACTGAAGCATTTAAATTATTCAACGGAAATTTTCTATGATTATCCAACGCCTTGAAACGCTTGATATCCAGGTGCTTTAAACATGTTTTAATGTATTAAATGATGGCCATGAATTTCAAAATGGAGTAACGTCTGAAATGTTTGAAGTGTTGGTGCGGTTTTATTCCTTTTAATATATTAAACAATGATTATGAAATACAAAACGGAAGCTTTATCTCTTTGCCTCCAACCGTTCACATTATGCAATTAAATCATTTAATGTGCAACGTTCAAAACTGAAATTTGATTAGCTTTAAGAGGCAAGCAATATTCAGATCATGGAGGCCTATAAAAGGGTGCTCTGGTCTAAGGTTCAGAACACATAGCTCTAGAGTTTTTGAGCTCCTCTCTTCCCCCTCTTGTGTGTTCTCTTACTAGCTGAGTTTACTACTATCTTCTGCTGTTCTGCTCACCCTGTTATATAGGAAGGATCCGTTTAATCCTGGGGAGTGCCGCATCCTTATCTACCGGTGGTTGTGGAATAGCTCTTAAGGACAGCGTACTTAGGACGTGACTCGGATTAACTATTTATTTTGCAGGTGCTGCCGCCAACAATCTTAAGAGCTAATCACATCATGGAACAACCCCGCAACACTGCTGCTCAGAATAACCATGATGCTGCCCCAGTCACTGTTGTTCCAACAGCAGTTCCTATTCCTAGGCCGTTCCCTGACACTTCAAAAATAGAGACATTTGATGGAAGGAATTTCAGGCGGTGGCAGGAGCGAGTTTACTCTGTCCTTGACATGCATGGAGTAGCTGCTGCTCTTACTCAGTCCGAACCAACTCCAGATGCTGATCAAGCCCAGAAAGATATTTGGACACATGCTAATAAGGTTTGCAGACACACTCTCATCAGTACTTTATCTAATGACCTGTTCGATGTGTACTGTGTCTATAAGGAAGCACACAAGATATGGGAGTCTCTTATCCTCAAGTACACTGCTGAGGATGATGGGAAACAGAAGTTTGTGGTGGGGAACTTCTACAAATGGGAGATGACTGAAGAGAAAGACATCAAGCTCCAAATCAACGAGTACCACAAGTTGCTGGAGGAGCTTCGTGCTGAGAAGATCAATCTACCAGATGAGTTCGTAGCTGGTATACTGATCGAGAAGCTGCCAGAAACATGGAGTGACTACAAACAACAGTTAAAGCACAAGCAGAAGCAGTTGTCCCTGTCAGATCTAATTACCCACATAATAATTGAAGACACAAACAGAAAGGCTATACAAGCTGCGAAAGGAAAGGAAATAGCTGCCAAAGCAAACCTGGTGGAATCGAAACCGCGCTCCAAGAGGTATGATCCCAAAAACAAAAATAACAAAAATAAGAAATCTGATTACAAATCCAAGGACTCTAACCCCAAATTCAAAAAGAAAGGCAATTGTTTTGTCTGTGGAAAGCCAGGGCACTATGCGGTGCAATGTAGAAAAAGGGCTACTCAAAAGGGTGATAATCCTCCTAAGCCAAATGTGAATTTGGTTGAAGGAGATGATGGCAGTGATGATGAAGTCATAGCTGCAGTGGTCTCTCAAGCCCTCATTGTGACTGATGTGAAGAAATGGGTAGTGGATTCAGGAGCCACTAAGCACATTTGTGCAAACAGAGAGATGTTTACCTCCTTTGAAGAAGGGGAAGACCACATCTACCTTGCCAACTCTCGAACTGCTAAGGTTCAGGGAAAAGGAAAAGTGGTACTGAAACTCACATCAGGGAAGACCTTGGCACTGAATGATGTTCTGTATGTGCCTGATGTTAGGGCAAACTTAGTCTCTGTGGCGCTGCTTGGGAAAGCTGGGGTTAGAGTGTCGTTTGAGTCTGACAAGGTTGTCATGACTAAGAACAATGTTCTCATTGGGAAGGGATATTGTAATCAGGGTCTGTTTGTTTTAAGTGTTGCTGAAATTAATGAAAATGCATCTTCTTCTGCTTACTTGATTGACTCTTTTGACATATGGCATGCTAGATTAGGACATGCTCATAAATCATATATAAAGAGATTGCAAAATCTTGGGTTAATTCATGGAATTAAAAGTAATGATTTTAACAAATGTGAAGTTTGTGTAGAAACTAAATTAACTAAGAAGCCACATTTTTCTACTCAGAGAGAAACTGAATTGTTATCTTTAATTCATACTGACTTAGGGGATTTAAAACAAGTTCAAACTAGAGGAGGCAAAAGATATTATATCACTTTTATTGATGATTTTTCAAGATATACTAAAGTATATTTATTGAGAAATAAAGATGAAGCTTTTGAAATGTTTCTTTTGTATAAAGCAGAAGTAGAAAATCAACTGAATAAAAAGATTAAACGAGTTAGGTCAGACAGAGGAGGAGAATATTTATTATTAAATGATTTTTGTGAAAAAGAGGGTATAATCCATGAAGTAACTCCTCCTTATTCACCTGAATCTAATGGCATAGCAGAAAGGAAAAATAGAACTTTAAAAGAAATGATGAATGCTCTGCTTGTGAGTTCTGCTGCACCTGATAACTTGTGGGGTGAAGCTTTGTTGTCTGCTTGTTTTTTACAAAATAGAATACCCCATAGGAAAACTAAAAAGACACCTTATGAATTATGGAAAGGATTTGTGCCTAACCTCAAATATTTAAAAGTGTGGGGGTGTCTTGCAAAAGTTTTATTACCTGATTCTAAAAAGAGAAAGATTGGTTCTAAAACTTCTGATTGCATGTTTATTGGTTACGCTCAAAAAAGTGCTGCTTATCATTTTCTAGTTTTGAAAAGTGATATTTTGGATTCTAATACGATTGTTGAAACAAAAGATGCAAAATTTTTTGAACATATATTTCCTTTGAAAGTTGAGCGTGTCCCTAAAAGAGTTGAAAACTCTTCTTTGGAAAAAACTTCAAATGATAGTTTGAGTGAGAATTTAAGGAGAAGTAAAAGACAAAGAAAAGAAACGTCTTTTGGAGATGATTTTTATACTTATTTAGTAGAAGGTGATCCGAAAAATTTTCATGAAGCTATTTCTTCTCCAGATTCTCAGTTTTGGAAAGAAGCTATTAAAGCTGAAATAAATTCTTTAAATCAAAATAAAACATGGGTTTTGGTTGACTTGCCTCCAGGAGCAAAACCTATTGGATGCAAATGGGTTTTTAGGAAAAAATATTTTCCAGATGGATCAATTGATAAACATAAGGCTAGATTGGTAGCCAAAGGTTTTACTCAAAAAGAAAACGTTGATTACTTTGATACATTTTCTCCCGTGACTAGGATTTCTTCTGTTAGAATCCTGATTGCTTTAGCTTCGATCCACAAGCTTTTTATTCACTAAATGGATGTTAAAACAGCCTTTTTAAATGGTGATTTAGAAGAAGAAATTTATATGACCCAACCTGAGGGGTGTATAGTTCCTGGACAAGAAAACAAAGTTTGCAAACTTGTTAAGTCTTTATATGGTTTGAAACAAGCGCCTAAACAATGGCATGAAAAGCTAGACCAAGTTTTGTTGAGTGGTGGCTTCTCTACTGTTGAGGTAGAACGTTGTGTTTATACAAAACTTGTAAATAGTGATTGTGTGATTATTTGCTTATATGTAGATGATATGCTTATTTTTGGTACTAGCATGAATATGTGTGTGAGACAAAATGTTTTCTTGCTTCAAATTTTGACATGAAAGATCTGGGTGAAGCAAAGGTCATATTGGGCGTAAAAATCATAAGGAATAAACATGGTATCCTACTTTCTCAAGAACACTATGTTGAGAAAATCCTGAGAAAGTTCGAACACTATGATGTTTCTCCTGTTAGCACTCCTTATGATTCCAATATGCATTTAACAAAACATGAAGGAGATCCAGTGGCTCAATCTAGATATGCACAGATTATCGGGAGTCTGTTGCATTTAATGAACTATACCAGGCCGGACATAGCCTATGCTGTGTGTAGGTTGAGCAGATACACTCACTGCCCAAGTAGTAAGCATTGGGAGGCTTTGCTAAGGGTATTGAGTTACCTGAGGGGTACCATGAACTATGGTATACTATATAGTGGATTTCCCGCTGTATTAGAAGGATACAGTGATGCTAGCTGGGTTTCAGACTCAGATGAGACAAAATCCACTAGTGGCTATATTTTCAATCTTGGTGGTGGTGCAGTAACATGGAAGTCAGCCAAACAAACTATACTAACAAAATCCTCAAGGGATTCTGAGTTTATTGCAATGGAGTTGGCTGGTTCTGAGGCCGAGTGGTTGAAAAACTTCTTAGCGAATATTCTA